TTTTAAACAAGGCTTTGCTCTGACATAACTCAGCAGCCTGTCTTTGAACCGTGCCTAGCAAAAGGTAAAGAATAGGGCAAATGTATATGAAACTTTCCCGTAGTATAATTCCAACATCTTTTTAGCTCAGAGACTTCCTGATCATAGTCCTTATGGTTTTCTGGGGTCTTCATAGATTGGTTTTATACTTCATATGGTAAGGTTTTAAATGGCTTTCATGCTCTCAAGATGCTTTTTGTTCTTTTAGCTGTTCCATTTAATTTCCTTTTAACTGGATTTCTCACACTTCTGTTGTTGTTCTTTTTGAAGTCAAATGTTGAAGTAATGAAAGTTTTTTTAAAACTATTTTTTACTCCCCTGGGAGTTTAAATACGTTCTTTTGGAGTGCTATCTGGAATTACATCTTGAACTATGTTGCACGGCTCAGAATTAGATCAAGAGTTGTTTTTTCTTCCTGTTGGTCTTCTAACTGGTTGCAGTTGGCTGTGGTTGAATAGTAGTGGAAGTCTTAAGTTACTATTTTGCAGTCTTTCTTGTTCCTCTTATCTCACATGTGCTGTCACTGTTGAGTGGAAGTGATTGATATTATACCATTAATACGCTATTTCTTCTAGTTTAGATATGGAATTTAAATGTAGCACAGTACCTGCTGAAGTAAATAATTCAGTTAGGACACTGTGCTTTCCTAGCAGAAAGTAGTATTCTTTCACTGGGGCAAATCAGTCACTCTCTTCTTGTTCCTCTATACTGCAGTGTAATACTGTTTCCTGAATTTTGTTTATCTGTTCACTTAAGAAGATGTCTTAGTTATGTGTTCTGTCAAAAGCAGTCATTCATGTTTTCCTTTTTTATTTTTAGGCTTTTAGCCTTTCTATGGAAGCAGTTGCACATGCTGGTCCTACTTTGGATGTCTGTTTCAAGTGCCCTGTGTTGGTGGAACTGTAGTTTTGGTTGGATTTCAGTGACTCCTTTTGATTTTTTTGTGACTTTGCTTCAAGTGTACATTACCATGACTGTGCTCGTGTCACCTTCATTCCAGGCGTTGTTAATGGCACTTAGTGAAGGCTTTTAAATTCCAGTTTCTGCTTTTGTTAAAGTGGAGTTGATATTATTTATTTTTAGATAGACACACCCCACTTCGATTTCTGCAATTAATGATAAATTTAAAACTCTGTTTTATCATTCAACAATGGAGTTAAGACTTGGCCTATGGAGTGCTACCTGGCTGGCTGTCTTAAAAGCTGTAATATTTGCCACCTTTCTAGGGAAGTGCCTGCATTTTGCCTTTTATTTCTTGCAGGAATTGAGCCTTGAATGTAGCTATGGGATTATAATTTATTTCAGCATGAAGACTTTTATAGATGAGTGATGTAGCTTAATTTAAAAGGAGAACACAAAAGGCCTGCTTCAGGAAGGGCTGTTGTATATTGGTAGTGCCTCTTTTTCCACCTAGCTGTAATTTTGGTGCCTGTGTGCTACCACAAAGTCTTGAGCTCATTTTGCAGCAGTATTGAACATGCATTTTCTGCAGTCTAGGTCTCCTGGTTTGTATTTTGTTGGTGTGTTGGTTTATTTTCCGAAGTCTCAACAATTCATCCAGTGATCAGTCTAATCACTCTTAGAGATTTCTTGCAATTGTATTTCTATTGTTAAGCATCTTTCACTGTTACCAGTTGTGAGGTTTTTCCTAGTTTCCCATTCTAAACCTTTTCACTTCGTAGATCATTCCTTTTTTGATAGTTGTTCATTTAGAAATACTGACTGTGACATTGCCTATGTAGTTTTTGTGTTTATCCTTGGTATTAGCATTTTTAGAAAACAAGCTACCTAATTTTGCAAATTTTTTTAAAAATGTTTTCATTTTTTGGGCTAATTTTGTTGCTGAGTCTTACAGAGGTAGAAGCTGATATTTGTGAGGAAATATATGCAGATTTTATTTATGAATATACACTAACAGTTAAGAACATAAACTTTCACTTTTATGTCATATCTAATAATACAGGTCATTAAAAGCTTTTTAAGAGCCTTTGTGGAAAAAATATATTTAGGTTAAAAGGTACGTGTTTTAGGTCTTACCTTTGCTACGTATTATGTGTGTGTACTCTAATACAGCCCAAGTCTGTCTTTCTACTAAGGGTCTGTAAAAACAGGAATAGCAAAGGCTTGAGTCAGGTCTGCGGTATAGTCTTGGCATAATCTCATTTCTTCTTTGTTCCCATCTGTTCAGGTATATTTAAAACTTTATTGAGAGCTTTATGTGCTTGTGATGCTTTTGTCCTTGTAGGAAAAGAAAATGTGTGGAATAAACCTAGGAAGCTAAGAATTGGTGAACTCAATGAATTCTTTTCAGCAAAAGCTGAGATGTAG